AATATTTCAGTCTATTCTATTGTCTCCCATCGTGTCGTTCTAAAGGACGAACAGTCCATACCACCATTCGCATCATCTCAACAGATTCTTCATTTTCGGTTGATCCTATTGATTTGGTCTCATGCATTTATTTCCTCCTGAAGCCAATACCTAATCCATCTGATTTGTTTTTGTTTTAATGTTGATGATATACTTTCAAAATGTGTTTTCGTTATGTTTTTAAGAATGACTGTACGAGAACCATACAGACGGAGCTTAATCGGTAATTTCAGATGTCAATGAAATTTCCTGCATATGGTAGAGCTAATTTATTTTAGAAATGTAGTGAAATTGGAAGACCTAACGAATTAGTTTTGGCTGAGACATGATGACCCGACTAGTAACACCTGAAGTAGGCTTTTATCAATTTGGGGTGTGGGTGTGGGTGAGGGTGAGTGTGGGTGTCGGGTGGGTGGTGTGGGTGTGGATGTGAGTGTTGAAAAGAAGACCCACACCCACACCAACACCCACACCCACCACACAAACACCCACACGACACCCACATCCGCACCCAACACCCACACCCACACCACACACCCATATCCACACACACCCACACCCACACCCACGCAACACACCCACACCCACACCCACACCACACAGCCACATCCACATCCACATCCACAGCCACACCCACCCACACTCGTCCAAAATACTTACTCTTCAAATCTCATGAACAGATCTATGAACTGCGAGCTCAAAGAAGGCTTCTTAGAACAAGCACTACGTAAGGGTTATAGCATGATTTTGATAGAAGATACTCACTATTTTTAGATTTTCAGATTTTGGCAGAGTATCTTATTTAGTCACTAAGATTCTCTTGTAGGATCCTAATACAATGGTCTGATGTTGGTTTTCATCAAAATTTAATAATAGCATTTTAGAACATTTTTTGGCTATCCCATTACCATCGCTGTTTCCAAAGCCCATAAAATCCATAGATTCCAATGTTTTTCACTGGAAAGCTGCATTAGGATTCGCATCCATCTTTTCAGCATTTCAAAAGTAGAAGACATCAGATCACATAGATCCGTGTGGAAACCTTTCAACTTTGCTCAATTTCGCATGCATCCAAACCTTCTGATGACCTTACTGAAATCCTATTAGAGTCATCCTTCGAACAGCTTGACGTAAGTTGCCAAAAGCCTTATAAAATTTCACTGGCTTCCTCTATAGAAATGTTTAGGAGATTCTTCAGCAGATCTATATTCATCATTCAGAAAATCATGTGATCAGATACTTTGTCCTATGACATGAGAAGCATCTTCAAAGATTCATACTGAATCCTCAAGGTTTCTCAAAAACATACGGATTAGGTTTGACATTTGCTGTTCAATGATTCAATATTCTTCTCACAAGATGCAGATAGAATCTTCTCTGATATTCATATACATGATCATTCTGCAAAAAAATTCTGAATTCTCGCAATTTCGAATAAAATCTTCAGATCCCTATGTTTTTCTATAGAAAGCTTCCATCGAATTAGCATTGCTCTTTCTTCGAGGATCTCCTTACAGTAATCTCCAGGTGTATTTTTTTATGTTAAAAAAATCTTGGTAAAAACTAAAAGTGACATAGATGTAAGAATCGTTACGAAATTCTTTTTTTTCATAAGAAACTAGGAAAAGGTTTCTGAATTTTTATCTGAGGAAAGAACACTCTCAATTGTTTTACCTAAGTCATTTCGAAGAAGACGAATGTCTCCTTCATAGCTCTTTTCTACACAAGAGAGAGGGGGATCTCTTTGAGAACAACGATTCCTTTTGTTTTTCGTTCATTGTAGTAATTCCTAATATTCCATCCAATGCTCGATGGGCACAGAATGGGGTGACCGTTGCTGGAAGTAATGAAGAAGGCGGTGCTACCAATCGACTCCGGTTGCCCGATGGTCTCTTTGTTGATGATGATCAAACGATGATCGTCGCTGACGTTTGGAATCATCGTATCATCTAATGGAAGATGGGTGATACGAATGGACAAGTAGTAGCTGGTGGCAATGGGTGAGGAAATCGATTGGATCCCTTGAATGAACCAAGTGATGTGTTGATCGACAAAGAGACGGATAATCTCATTATTTGTGATTTGGGGAATGACCGAGTCGTACGATGGTCTCGTCGTAGTGGAACAACTCAAGGAGAAATTCTCCTCGACAACATCGATTGTTTTGGATTAGCCATGGATGATCAGAGATATCTCTACATATCTGACACCAAAAAACATGAAGTAAGACGATATCAAATAGGGGACAAGAAAGGAAATATCGTGGCTGGTGGCAATGGCAAAGGTGATGGTTTCAATCAACTCAACGCTTCGACCTACGTCTTTGTCGATCGACAACAGACTGTTTACGTGTCAGACCGTGACAATCATCGTGTGATGAAATGAAACAAAGATGCACAAGAAGCAGAGTATCTTATTCATTCCTGGATTATTTTCAATTGGACAAATTCGATTCAGTATTGAATAAACAGATATATTTAAATGATTGAAGAGTTTGCTACTGAATAGGACTGATAAATAATATAATTTACCTTTTTAGTTTTTTGTTTTGTTAAAAGTATGCCCCATAAGTATGTTAAACACTTGTTCAATAGCAAAGCAAGCATTAAGGCAATCGGCCATATTCAGTAAAATTCAAAATAAAAAATTCATCAATATACAATGAATTTGTACAATCCATAATTGAACAAGAATTTCACTTTGAAGTAATAAAAGTAAAAGAAATTTCAATAAAAATATAAACATAATTAATAAACAGATTATTGATGATTAAAAATGATAAATTTGCCAACCAGTTTGATATGAATTTTTTCTTCGAAAAGTTATTATTGATAAAATAACACAGAGAAAAAATATTCATCACTGAAACCATACTTGTTTTAACAGGTTTTGATTGATGAGACAATCTAATATCAGCTTAAATATGATAACTTAATATAATATATAATGAAAAGCTACAAACTTTTGTTGAAAATTGGCATCAACTACTATAAAAACAATCTAGACATGCGCAGATACTTGTTGCTGGACAGTGAGAACCATCTTGAAAACATTAGCTATTATTTAAGCAATAATTAGGGCGTGAGTGTCAGTGATTGTGATGGTTTTGATCTTCTCTTAACCTACATCTCATATTCACAATCTCTTTTAAAATATAATAAGTCTTATTGACATTGAAATGACTTTGTATTATAAAAGCTATATGAAATGAAATGATCAGATTAATAATATTTTAATAGTGTGGATGTGGGTATAGGCTAAAAGAAGGTTCACACCCACATTCCGATCACAATTATAGACGGATTTTCAAAAAATTTACAATTATAGTTGGATTGGAATATGGAAAATAAAGATGAAGTCGAAGTGAAGATTTGAGCAAATATACATGACGACTGGAGTGGCACATATGCAAAATTGTCCATCGTTATCTCTCTAT